TGAAGGCGACAAAGAGTGTTACTTTTCCTTGTTTCTCTATCTATAAGTAAACATATTTGAATTTATTTGTAATAGTATTGAATATTTGCTTTAATCACTTTTTTTTGGCAATACACATTGGCAATTGATAGTGTTTTTGACGAAGAGCAATTCTATCCTTTTTTTATGTTCTCTACATCGTAAACTCAATTCGGGAATGAAGAAGTCTTGTGAATAGTAAGTGTGTTTCCGTGATACATTATTTTATTTGATTAAGTTACTAACTATGTGATTTTGATGATAGGGCTATGAGGATTGGCCAGCAAGTTCAGTTAGGCAAGGCCCCACATGATGTCAAGGATCCTATATGGATAACACCAAAGGTAATTAATATCTATCATCATAATTTTTTTGGAGAGCTTTCTTTGAATTTAAACTTGACAATGTTGTGTTATTCTATAAAGTCGTCGTCAACCCCCTACTAATTTGTGTGGCTTTTATGTGTTGAGACACGTGTACAACATCATCACGGCCGGCTTGATAGAGTTTATTGAGGAGGTAAATTTAATTTTAGAGATCTAATATATATTTTATTCACTTGGAATTGCTAACTTAAATTCCTTCTCCTTGATTTTTTAGATGTTTAATGATTCATCTCCATTTCCACAATCAGAGATCTAAGAAATTAGAAGACATTAGGAACTATTTATGTTAGAGCTTCACAACAATAATCCACTTAATGAGTGAGTTTAGGATAGGTGTAATTGAATTAGGAAAAATTATTGCATTTATTTGGATATTGAATATTAAATGAAATTGTAAATATTTTTAAATTAATTTGATTGAATTGGGTTGTATTCTAGGTGGTTGGATTTATATATTCCTTTTAATTTGCAAGTTTGTGTCCTATCATTGGTGGGTTAAGTGAAAAAATAAAATGGTTTTTTTTAGCAAAGCAATGTTTCTAAACATATCTAAACCGGTTGTGATATCATAACCGGTTTAGAAGTGTATTTTTAAAATGTGACAAAAAAAATCTTTTTATTTACCTTTTATCTAAACCATTTTAAAACTAGTTTAGAATATCCCTTTTTCTAAACCGGTTGTATAATTGGTCTAGATATCCTTCACATATCTAAATGGGTCTTATCTAAATCGGTTGTAGAACCAGTTTAAATAAATAATTATAACCGGTTTAGTTAAGCATTTATATGCTAGTGAGATTTCAAATCAGTAAAAGAAAAAGCTTTTCACAATAATTACTCTGTAAAAGAGTAACTGTAATAAAAATAAAAGTTTATAAACCTTTATAGTAGTTTTACAAAGTTAAAAAAATGTAGGTAAGAAATCAATACACAACACTTAATTCTCAATGAATATATTACCCACTCACTTTAATGGAGTTTTATTTATAGTTTATCACTAAAAGGGAATGGATTATAGCCGTTGAAGATGTATGTAAGTGAAGTTTACTAGAAAAATCAGTTTTTTTGTGTTCAGAATCAAATGCATGTCAGAGTACAAAGCACACGTGGTTTGGAAGGGTGTCATGCTTGGATTGGGATTTTAGCACAAGGATTTGATTTACTTCAATCTAAATCAAATGTGAGGCTATAATCAATCAGGCATGTTTTAGAGAACAAAAGCACCATGTTTCTCTATAAGTTGAAATACGTGTGGGTAAGAATAGGATCAAGCATGAATTTGATAGTGTACTCACTATAAAGTAAAACATGTTTGACTCACTTTTGGATCAAGCTTGATTTGGCTTTTTAGGCTTAAGGCTCTTTAAGTTAGACTTGAACAATTTCTAAGTGTTAGAACCCATTTAAGCATGAATCTATCATGAGTCACATGTGGATTATATCTTAAACACACTTCAAGTTGATACTAAGGGACAATTCAAGCATGGACATTTAAGTTACTCAAACATGAATTAGATCAAAGAAGCATGTATAAGACACTTGCCTACACTATTAGCCAAAACATGTGAGAACCCTATTTGAATCAAGTGGGAATTGAATCATAATGTTGGGCATCACTTTTAGAGTCTAACTCAAGCAAGTTTCTATTTTGACTCAAACTTGAATTAGATCCTCTAAGTCCTAAGATGCATGAAAGGTAGCCAAAACACGTATAAGTCCATTCCAAAACTTATGAAGGTTAATAAATATGCATTCTAAGAGTTTGACACTTAAGTTCAATGGACTTGTGAGCCTAAGGTAGGTTCTAATGTGATGCTTTCTTACCAATTTCAAAAGATGTGATATAGCTCTCATTAGTTTTTACTATTGAATCTAAGAGAAGAACAAAATATATAAAACTATGGTTCCATGTCTCCTCTTAATCTTCATGCTCTTAGATATTTTGTCACTTTTGTAATATGTGTATGATATGTACAAGTAACAAACACCTTCTTCTCAGTTTTGTTGTCATCAAAACACATGATTCAACAATTTTGTTATGCATTCAATTGTTTATTGTTGGTATTAATTAAAAAAAAAAACAAAGTTTTCTACTCTCAAGATAGCTAGACTATTATTAGTTCAAAATATAAGATCTCTTATTGAGAGTTTTAATAAAAATTCTTAGTTGTTTATTTTCATAATTTGTCTAGATGCTGACAGAGAGGATTGTTACCAATATCAACTAGATAGGGATCATCATGCCAGATTATGGACTAGCTTGGGTGATAGTTGACAATAACACCTACTTTGAGACTGTTTGAGATCCACCTCTACTATCCACCCCATTACAGATAGTTCCACACTCACCCTTATCTCCATCACATCACTCATTCTCCTCCACTGTTGGTACCTTCATTGACACTAACCTTGTCCACCCTATCACTAGGTATGCCACCATTGCCACCACTCTTCATGCCATCACCACCACCATCTTTCATATGCAACCTCAGCCAACCTAATAGGCATATTTAGATATCTTAGTAAATTAGGAATGTATATTTGTACATGTGGGATGCTTTTTGATGTAGTATATTAGGGGTTATTTTGACATACATTTGGTTTAGTATCAAATCCTCTCTTCCCACACTCATGCTAACAAGTTGTATTTTCACATACCTGAAAAATATAATCTTAATGAAATATGGGTGGATGTAATTCCATATGACTTCTTGTGTAATTTAATTTTTTTCTTCCAAATGTGGTATTAAAGGAAAGAAAAACACATGGTTTCCTTTAACTCTTAAATAAATATAAACAATAATAATCATAATAGATACATAAAAAAATAATTTTACAAACATTTTTACCAAACTAAACTATCTTAGTGCGGAAGGTTACAATAAGTTTCCTAGACTTAGGTTTTCTCTTTTGATTTATAACTTAGCTTACTTTGCTTTAGTGCGATTTTCCATAATCTTGCTTGTCTCAAAACTTGAACAAACTTTGCTTCTAACAAGATAAACTATTAAATAATTAACTGGAGATTTCATTAAAACTTTTGATAGCATCTCCCCTTAAATGGCTACGCAAAATTACAACAATGCTTGAAAATCAAGCTTTAATTTCCAACAACAACCAATAACGGGCTTGAGTCCAAGTGTTGCAGTGACTTATCTCTGTTTGTTTTTGCTTAAGCGCTAGCTCTTTCTCACTTCTACTTTCAGTAATGCTGTAGCATTAGAACATCCTGTAAGAGCAGGAGCTCTGAAATAACCTATTACTTATTGACTAGATCTGAGCTTTCATCGCCAGCAAGGTACTAAGAATATCAAACACGTATGATCTCATCAACTAAATCATAACCTAAAAAAAATCAAACTTCAAAAAGTGTCTTTCAAATCTGGACAGAAACTAAACTCATCAAGAAATCCATTCCGAGTTGCGAAAATCACAAGAATGAAAGTATTTTAGCTTAAATATCTCCTTTAGCCCTTTCCTCACTAGGCTGGGACTTCTTCCCTTTACGATGAATTTCATAAATTTTTTCTTTTTCTTAAAAAAATATTTTATATTTCATAAAAAATAATAAAATATATATGGGGCGAATACAAAAAAAGAAAAAACGAAAAAGAAAACTTTACACAAATTCATGAATCTCAATTTTAAATGGTTTACATTGCTCGCACACAATGTCACTCATTACTTCATAGAAAAATATTTTTATGGTATCCATTTTATTTGTCCAACCCATAATCATCCCTGGTCAAATTTCAGGAGGCAGCTTAGTGATATTATCTTTCAATTAATTTATCTCTATAAAAAGTTTTGATTACATAGATTAGGCCCTTAGAGTGTTGACCATGGAGTAGTTGACTATGAATTGCACTTTCTTTTGCCATCAAGGATTTTGTTTTAGTTCCTACCTGCCTCACGTGTCATAACTACACTTGCTCCCACTCTCATGGAACTTTAATATATATGCTATATATATATATATATTGATCACAACCAAAACAATATTTACTAATTTAGTGGTTCTGAGACAACAATCCTACAAGCTCTCATTCAACTTCTCCAAACTTTTTTTACCATTCGACACAATTGATGAGAAAAACAATATTTCTTTTAAAGAAACCCCATTAGTCATAATTTTGACAGTAAAAATAATAAAAAAAATTAAATCTCCCCTAAAAATTATTTCCTCCATGATGATAAAGCACTTTTAGATAAAATCATACATATCAATAAACTTTATTAAACATAATTTACAATTTTATTTTTTAAAATAAAAATATAAACTTTCAAAAATATTCTTAATTTAATAGTACTTAATTTGTGAAAGAATGTTAAAGAAAAAGAATATAATAGGAAAGGTAATATTAGAAAAATATAATTAATAAAATTTTATTTTTATTAAAGTATCTTATATTTTGAAAAGTTAAATTTTTCCTAAAAATATTTTATAATTTTGGAACAAGAGAACAAGAGAGTATTATATATAGTTTAAATTACATGCATATGCAACAACTCCATAACTCTTATTACATTCCTGCCCTTAATTATATATAACTCCAACACTGGATCGAATTCCACGCATACCAGTTCATCCAAACACGTACGATACGAATATCACAAACACACACTTACACTTTGATAAAAACAATCATGTCTTCAAAGTCCTTGGCGGTGTTATTGTGGTTGTTGCTGGCTTCTGTTCTGGTGACGCGGATGGCGGCGGCCATGGGAGGAGGCGGAGATGAGAGAGAGAGCGTGATCGAGATGTACCTTCATGACATCATAGGGGTCAGCAACCCAACGGCTCGTCCGACAACAGGGTTGTTGGGAAGCATTTACAGTGGGCAAGTGCCATTTGCGACGCCTGTGGGCTTCAAAACCCCTCAAGGAGGAATCCCTATTCCTAATTCCAATGGTGCTCTTCCCACTGTCAATGGAGTCACTGGCATTCCATTGGGCTCTGGCCTCTCTGGTACTACTTTCGCAGGTAAGAATCTTCTGTTGAAAATATCTCAAGAGTAGAGTTTAATCAACAGACCTCGAGAGCACACATTAGACCTGTTATACAGGGCCCGTGGGAGTTCATAGGCAAGTAAGACAATTGCCAAGATCCCCAAAAGAGCCTTGAATATCCCTAGTAATGTATAGATTAAACAGATGCATTGGTATTGTTATGTAATAAATACCAAATGAAAAAAAGTAAACCCCCAATTCTTTTTCATTAAAAACTTTTTAACATTTTCAAAATAATATTTAATTATTGAATTGGCCTGGCCTTTATATTATTTATTCACTTTCTATAATTCTCATTTTGGCATTATCATCTCTAGCTCTCTCTCACTTTTCATCTTCACTCCTCCACTTTCTCCCTTTTCTCGTTTCTATTCTTTTTTTTTTTTGGATAAACTTCTTGTTTCTATTCTAAAGCTTGAAAAAAATATCAATCATCAGACATATTTTTTGCTATAATCTTTTTTTAATATATTTTGGATCCAACCAAAGCATTGGAACATACATCATTGAGTGGGGACTTTATGTTTCCATCTCTGTATTGCTATCATGTGTGTTTGTTCCTTTTTAATCCATGCTTTATTTTTTAAATATAAAAATACTGAGTTTTTAATTTTTTTTATTATTTCTAGTGGTAAAAAATAAGTATGAGGATTGATAAATTATTATATGTTAGGCCCTCTTTATACATTTTGCTTAGGCTTCAAAATCCCTTGACACGGCCTTGCGCTTATAGCCTCTCCGAAGGGTATAGAGAAAATGAGAGAATGTGGAAGATGGTGAAGTGTTTAATCTTGTAATGACTAGGGTTATCTTCACTTATAAATATACTAGGGTTATCTTCACTTATATATATATATATATATATATATATAATTAAATATTTTAACTCTCTCAACTCTTAACTTAGTTAAAAGATACGAAAAAAATTGGCAGTTAAAGGGTTTTAGATAGTGGTTGACATTGCTCTTGTTGAACGTAGGCAAGTGTCTTTGCTCAACTACATGAAAAAATTTACTAGGACTAGGTGATATTTTTGAAAATTTGTCCCCATTGTTCCAATGGTTTTGAACCCACTAGATCCAAACTCATATACATTTGAGTTCAAAAAATTTTGAATCTTTAACATTCCACTTAATCTCAATAAATTTTAAATTTTGAATACATTATATTAAATTTAGATTATTTATATAAAGATATCATTTTAAATTTTCTTCTAGTGTTATCAATATAATACTTTGTGAGTTCTCGTATAATATTTTTAGCCTTTTGATGGATGCAGTTGTAAAATCACTTTTAATACGGATTTTAAATTTTCAGATGTAAAATCACTTTTAATATGATTCTAAATCTATATTAAAATCACTTTTAGTATCGATTTTAGCCTTTTGATCGATGCAGTTGTAAAATAACTTTTACGTTCCACTTTATCACAATAGATTTTAAATTTTCAATACATTATATTAAATTTAGATTTTTCATATAAAAATATCATTTTAATTTTTCTTCTAGTGCTATCAATATAATTTTGTGACTTCTCCTATAATATTTTTAGCCCTTTGATTGATGCTGTTGTAAAATCACTTTTCAGAGTTTTACAATAACACTTCACTCTGTTGTCATGTGCGGAGGGAGAGGTCTGTCTTGATTCACAAATCATTGGTAATTAGTGTGAAATACTTAATGTGTTCTAGGAATTTAAGCAAAATTATTGGAGGAAAAAAAAAACTAATGTGATCAACGTACATGCATACATTCATGCATGCATATAGCTTGTGAGTTCTCATGTGATATTTTTAGATTTTTGGGTCGCAAATTCATTTTTAAAAATTTTATAATCAAGCAATTTAAACATTTGAGTTAAAAAAATTTTTAGCTACTACTTTTGCAGGTAAGAACAGTTAACACAATTTCTGAATATTTTGGAGTGTCAAGCGAAATTATTGGAGTCTAGTGTGATATAACTCATGAAGGGAATTCATATAATATTTTCATCTTTTTTTAATCGAATATTTTTTTATCTTTTTGATGTGTTGAAAAATCACATTTCAATTTTCACAAATGAATGGTCAGTAAATGCAGAAATAATTAGTGTGAAATAATCAATGTTTACTACGACTTTTGCATCAATTTCGTTCATTGATTTGTGATGTGCGCACAGCGTGCAAGTTATATTTGATCAAATTATATTATATAAACTTTTGCAAGTCAAAACTGATTGTCTGATACTGACATGTCTTGAATTTTGTAAAAACCATGCATTTGCTTTTGTTTTCAAAATATATACTGTACAAATTTTCTGTTCGAACGGAAATATATAAATATTTTGTTTTAAAAATAAAAGCATGTGATATAACAGCGAAACATGGTATGTACTTTGCCTTTTGTTTTCATGTTGCGGGATATGTCTTATTTTAACAAAATTGAGAGAAGATCATGTCATCTACTTTTGATTTGTTTTAGGAAGAGGTTACGTTACAGTAAAGTTAGCAAAATTTAGAAAGATATATATATATATATAGAGAAAGAATTATAGTTAGATTCCAGCATATTAAATTAATGATACCCAACCAATGATGAATCTAGAGTCTAGTAATTGGTGGGGACTAAAAATAAAATAAAGAATGGAGAGCGAAAGTCTAATTTAGACTATCGTACAAATAAAAAGGTAACTTCTACCAAAGCCATATGATGTCATGCGAGGGCATTCTTGCCCCCCCGGATCTATCATTGTGCCTGTCAAAAAATTCTATAAAGTAAGTTAAAAATATTAATTCAGATAATTATAAATTTAAAAATTTTAATTATAAATAAATATTTAAATATAAAATATAACTTTTAAATTGTAATATAAAATTTTCATTGTAATTATTTGAATTAATATTTACAATTTATTTTTTTTTTAAATTATCAGGGACCTAAATATTATTAATTTAGATAATCTTTTAAAACTTAATTGTTATTTTACCTCCAAAAATATGATAGAATGAACTTATTTTTGAATTTTGCTAAAATTATATAGCTTTTTTCTGTAATTACACTCAGAAAACTTAAATCACTTAAGAATCCCCATGTTATTAAATCTTTTCCACTTGTAGGTAACAACGAGAACAACCAAAACAATCTACAGAGCCAATTAGCAGCTGATGGACTAGGGTTAGGGTTTGGAACAATAACAGTGATCGATGATATTCTCACATCTCAACCAGATTTAGGGTCACAAGCAATTGGAAGAGCTCAAGGAATTTACATGGCAAGTTCATCCGACGGAAGCAGACAAATGATGGTGTTCACTGCCATGTTTGAAGGTGGTGAATACGGCGATAGCTTGAACTTTTACGGCGTCTACAAGATCAGAAGGACCATGTCGCGTCTATCGGTGACCGGAGGAACTGGTAAGTTCAAGAATGCAAGGGGGTTTGCAGAAGTTAGGTCTCTTATTCCTCCCGGACAGATCGCCGTTGATGGTGCAGAAACATTGTTGAGAATCACTATTCATTTGAATCACCATTGAAATCATGCTACGTGTTGCATGATTGTGGCTTTTTTTTTTAACTTTTATTTTTGTTGAAATTTGATTGTGTTTTTGTCAGAGTGATAGGAGAATGTACTTAAAAATCTTAGTATATTCTCCACACATATTGTAGTTGTTTATTTCTATCTTTCTTTTTCGTTATGAAATTTAGGATTTTGACTGTTTACTAATTATCACAAGGGCTTGTGAAATATTGCGAGTCAAAATCTTAACACTTTATGAGGACTAAAATTATCAATTGATTATTATGCTGAGAACATGATGCCCTAAATAAAAAAATCAACTGTGAAAGTTTGACGGTAAGCATAACGTGGTGAAAATTAAACAAATAGTACCAAGATCTTTTATTAATAATGAACCCTTGCTTATGGTGGGAGGAACACCATGGTTTTAAAATAGTTTCTCTTACACGGGATTTCTTGATTATTTCGAGTATAAGTAAATTCACAACCTACTAAGCCCCTGTAGTTTATGAGAGTACAGAAAGATGATGAAGAGAAAAGAGAAGAGGCATTGGGTTAGTTATTGATTGATCATATCTAATTATATCATATATTATTCTCTAATTTAAAATAAAAAATAATTTGGTGGGTGGAACACCATGGTTTTAAAATAGTTTCTCTTACACAGGATTTCTTGATTATTTTGAGTATAAGTAAATTTACAACTTACTAGGTCCCTATAGTTTACAAGAGTACAAAGAGATAACGGAGAGAAAAGAGAAGAGATATTGGGTTAGTTATTGACTAATCATATCTAATTATATCATATATTATTCTCTAATTTAAAATAAAAAATAATTATATCTTAAAATAGATACATAATCATATCAATAACCACCTTAACAATTAATTAATTAACTATGTCTCTCAATATCTTTGTACTACTGTAAGAAGGAATTTTTACATTGGTTGTTTGAGACTTGTTATGTCAATTTTTAGGGGGAAGCGAAAAGGACTGAAGTAGAAAGTAGACTTTCCATATCAATTACATGTTAGTTTTTTTAAATAACCATTGTGGAAAGTAGACTTTCCACATTAGTTTTCTTCTTAAAACCAATGCTGGAGGTGTTTTTAACATCAATTTTCTTAATAATTGGTGTTAAAAGTTTATAATTTCTTTTATACTTTGTTGGTTTTCCTATACGTCGATAACTAAAACCTGTGAACTGTATAAAATATATAGCAAGAAAAAACAACCAGCCAATAGAATCAAGGGAAAATGACAATAAAATCTATCTAAAATATATAAATGACAATTTGGTCCTTTGAAATGCCATAACTTTCCTAAAGTCTCTAGGAATTTTTCTGTCATTAATGAATTTATATAAATAACCAAATTTTCCTTGTTGAAAATAAATTATTCACAACTTTCCTTCTTATATTCACAACTTTTCTTCTTATATCCGCAACAATACAATAACAAATAAGGAATTTAACATGCGGAGTTGTAATTTGCTGTTGCATTATTACAAATATAAGAAGAAAAGTTGTGAATCATTCATTTTTAATAAGGAAAATTTATATAAATTCATTAATGATAGATAAGTTTTCAGAGACTTCAGGGAAATTATGGCATTTCAAGGGACCAAATTATCATTGATATATTTCAGAGAGATTTTATTATCATTTTTCCTAAAATCAATGAGTATACAACAAATTTAAATTATACTAAATATATATTTCTAAAATGAACTAACAATATCTCTCCATTGTCTCTGCAAAAAAAAAATTGCCTTTTACTAACAGTTTCTTTAGTCCTTTAGTAGCGGTTTTGACCGCTACTAGTGCAGTTGGTAGCAGTTTTTGACAAGCCATCTTGGATTCAACTATCCATCTTTTTAACAGATGATTATTTGAGTATAAAACTAGTGCTATTAGATAGAGGGCTCGAAGAGCTTCGTGTGGACACTTGAACCACTCAAATCGGATATCAAATGGCAAAATGGCATACTCCGAAAGTTTAGAGCATTGTCATGATAACAATCTACTGTCATGATAGTAGGTGTGCCCCACGACGTATGGTAGTTGCACTGTGGTGGAAGTGCCTTCTAAGGGACTCTTCCATCTGTGCCATCCACCGCAGCGTGTGTGGCTTGTGCTATGGCGGATGGGCTAGATTGTTTGCAAGTGCTGTTTGATTTCCATGCTTTTGTTATCATATTGAATTGATTTTGAACTATAGTTTAAGCTCAAACAATATATTTTAAAAAGGGTTTCTTAGGATCCCATTGTTTTAACTAATTACCTTTTAAACCCTTGCATTGTAATAACTTTTTCTTGGGATTTTATCTAATCCAAGTTATCATAATGGCGTGTAAGAGTGTTGTCCTGATAATATCAAGACAAACATTACAGCAATGATCTTCATGAATCAACACCAACTTGCCAAGCCTTTAAATGAGCATTTCTAAACCCTTACCTTTTTAAATTTAAGTTATATGCATTCATTAAGGGGGAGCATTACATGAATGACAAGTTTTGATGATGAAAACTATCTTTAACATCTTCATGCCTTGCAATAAGCTCTATTTGCTTTTAGAAAACTATCTTTTTTGCATCATTTTTAGCTAAATTAGTCTCTTTTATACATTAAGACTCAGCTTAGTACATTTAAGCTTACAAGAGATGTCATTCTATCTTGCTGTGATTTATAAAAGTTGAATCTTCTCGAATTGCATAATCACTTGTGATTCTACATGGTCACTCATGAGATTTAGTATGTTAGGCATACTAACTGATGTTTCTCGCAACAACCCAGAATTAATTTACATATGATTTGTCACCTATGTTATGTGATGCCTTAAACTTTTCTTGTGTGTGCAAAATCACATGAATTAGCCACTGGTCTCTATGTACGTTTTAGCAGTTGTGTTTCATTACTATGTATCATAAGCCATTTCATGCATGAGAGCTAATGGTAGCCACTCGTGATTTGTCATTTGTTACTCAAGCACATATTGCTAAATTAAGTCTTAAGTTATCTCAAGCCAAGTTCAATTTGCTCAATTGTATGATATGTGATTCACACATATATATCTCTTGATCATGCAAAAGCTTGCTTGAGTGCATTGCATTTTCATGCGTGATATGTACCTAGACTAGTTTAGTCTTATTGCTTGCCATTTCACATGTGAGTCATGCTATATTGCACGCGTGATTTATCCTCTCGAATGGACTAAGTCTGGAGCTAGTCATTTCACGTGTGATAGTTCTTTGCTTCCACGCGAGTTTTGTTCACAAGAATTGGCTTTGGCATTCTACCAGCCATTTCACGTGTGAGAGCATGTTGGTTCCATATGTGATCTATCACATAAAATTGTATTTAGCTTTTGGCCATCCAATTCACGTGTGAGAACATGTGAGTCACACACAGGATATGTCACACAGATTTGAATGTGGCATTCTGCTAGCCAAATCATATGTAAGAACAAGAGGGTCACACGAGAGTTCTAGCACATAGAATGATTTTCACATTCATATTTGATATCTATGTGTGATAAGCATATCTTGATATATTTATATCATGACACTATATTTGATAATTGATTTCTTCATGTCATTAGTATTCAATTCATTCACAGAGAAGAATCAACATTCATTAACAAGCAAATTCTCCAACTCCTATACAAAAGTAAAATTAATCATTTGAGGATAAAGCAACAAACTAGTGCACTAATTACTTCATCAACCTATTATAAAATGGTGTCACTAAGGGGAAGAAATCATCTTCAAGGAGTACTTCTCAGATCAAGAACATCAAGAAGCCTCATGCTCATATTTCTCAAATGAAAGGGAGAAAATTCTGAAACAAGGCCAACTTGATACAATCATATAGGGGAAAAATCAAAACTCATATTTCAAAATTCTCCACATGACAAATAGAAGAAGTCATATTCAAAGGGGAACTATAAACCTTATCTTTTTCTTGTATTCCCTTGCATTTACTTCAAAGCCTTTTTGTTAATGACAAATATAGGGAGAACAATCAAGAAAAATATAAATTTCTAAACACTTATTTTTGATCATATAAGCATATTTTTCACAGGTGATTTGTCATCATCAAAAAGGGGGAGATTGTTGGACATAATGATTTGTGACATTATATGTTAGCTTAAGTTTTAATGATGATAAATATAGATGAGTTAACTATACTCATGGCTAATTGTTTTCAAATATATAAAATTTAACTATGTCTATAGAACAAGTGCTTTAAAGTGTTTTTACTTATGTTATTCCATATTACTTTAGATTTGGAAAAATGATTTGTGTACATCAAAGTTATTTTATACTATCATATTTTTCCTTATCTTGATTCTATATCCTAGAAGTATTCATATTATTATCTTTCATAACTTGAATTTATGCATATTGATACTTGGACTAACCATTTTATTCATGATATATTATTTAAGGTTGTCCAAAATAAAGATGAGAGTAAGTATGAAGAGAAACAAAGATGAAGTCATCATTTGCATGCTACACTCATGATTGAAGAACATAAAGATAAAGACAAGGATAATTCAAGAAGAGTTTAAGAAGAATGAAGACATTCATACAAGCTTGGATGCACCTTGCAAGCCTTCGACTTGATAGGTATAATATCATTAAGCTAGAAGTCTTTATGTTAAAATCATTGATTTAGATATGAAGTATTGGCTTAATATATCTTAAATCAAAACATGCATTTTAGTTATTAAGAGAAAGAGTGAGATATAGTTTTCTATAATCATGGTTTTCATCTTTGGTCACATATATCTTACAAGCTTTTAAATATTTTGATTACTAACTCCATAAAGCTTTCAAAATTACTCCATTCACTTAAAATAGAGTTAAGTTGGAAAATTCATGAACACTTGAAGTCTAAGCATTGAAAAGGAAATTGTGTAGAAAATCTATTTTGACCTTTGGTAATATTTCATGTCATATCTCTCATTACAAAGACCATCTTAATGTGAAATATATCATTTGAAAAAAGACTCCAATATATTTTCAATGATAGTTTATTTATTCAAAATGGAGTTCTATTGAGAAAGATATAAACTTTATAAATTGAGTGTTGAGATATTAATTTTGCACAGCATTTAGTCTTGACCTTCATCTACTCTTTTGAACATATATCAAAATATACGTTTAATGTGAGTGTAAAAATTGTTTTTTTGAAAAC